CTCTGCCTCTTTCTATCTGTGTATCCGTGTGTCTGTCTGTGTATGAAGGTCTCTCTCTCTCTCTCTCTCTCTCTCTCTCTCTCTCTCTCTCTCTCTCTCTCTCTCTCTCTCTCTCTCTCTCTCTCTCTCTCTCTCTCTCTCTCTTCTGGGACTTTCTGATTTGAACTTCGAGAAGACTTGTTACTTCATTCTAGACGATTTCTCCATTATTTCTTCTATTTTTCTTCTCTCTCTCCCCTTCCGTCCCCCCCCCCCCCCTCTTCCCTTCTCCCTTCCTCCTCCCTTTATCTATACTTTCTTTGACTCCCTCCTACCTCCCTCCCCTTTATCCTTTCGTCCCTTCCTTCCTCCTTCCCCTCCTTTCCTCCCTTCCCTCCCTTCCCTCCCCCCTCATTCCTTCTTTCCATCCTTCCCCCCCTTCCTCCCTTCCCTTCCCCCTCCCCCTCCTTTCTCCCTCCCTCCCTCCCTCCCCCCCTCCATTCCTTCCCTCCCTCCCTCCCCCCTCCATTCCTCCTTCCCTCCTTCCTCCCTTCCCTCCCTCTCCCCCCTCCTCCTCCCTCCCTCTCCCCCCCCTCCATTCCTCCCTTCCTCTAGTTCGTCCGTACATCTATAAAGCTTAAACATTAGCTTGTTAGGGTGAAGCTGTAGTTTGAAGTTGGTGCTTTATGATGCTGCTACGAAGTAAGAGTTCCCTTTGTGTGTGGCGAGAGAGGGAGAGGGGGAAGAGGGGAGAGGAGGAGGAGAGGAGGAGAGGAGGAGGAAGAGGTGGGGGAGAGAGGAGGAGGAAGAGGTGGGGGGAGGAGGAGGAGGGGGGAGGAGGAGGGGAGGGGGTTTAGAGGAGAGGAGGAGGAGGAAAGGGGAGGGGATAAGGGAGAGGGGGGTTTAAGGGGAAGGGGATAGAGGGTGATGAGGATAGAGGAGATGGAGAGACAAGGATAAGAAGGAAGAGACAGAGGGGAAAAGATGGAAGAAGCGAGGTGGAGGGAGAAAAGAGATAGAAGAGAGAGATAAGAGAAAGAGAGAGAGAGAGAGATGCGAAAAGAAAGAGAGAGAGAGAGATGCAGAGAGAGAGAAAGAGAGAGAGAGGGAGTAAATACCTGATCCTGATTGACGACTCTTTCTTTTTCCGCTTAAAAGAAAAAAGAGAAGTCGGATACTTAGCTAGTTTTATGAGGCTAATTGCTTGCATGTGATAACTTAATTACTTCCCACTCTCGGGTGGTGGTTATGATATGTGCGTGGGGAGGGGAGGGAGGGGAGGGGAGGGAGGGGGGGAGAGGAAGACTGTGTGTATGTCTTGCGATTATGTTTCTTGGCGTTTATTATCATCTTTGGTTCGCTAGTTTTCGTTGCTTATTTCTTGCGTTGTGTCCTTTTCTTATATGCAAATACCATCTTTACACTAATATTTTCTGCCTCTATCTGTACGTTTCTCTACCGCCTTCTCTCTCTTTCTCGATCTCTCTATTTATCTATTTATTTGTCTATTTATCTATCTATTTGTCTATTTATCTATCTATTTGTCTATTTATCTATCTATCTATCTATTTATCTATCTATCTATCCATCTATACATATATATCACTCCCTCTTCTCTCGCCTCTCTCCCTTCTCGCCTCTCAACCTCCCTCCCTTCTTCGTTCCTCTTTCCCCTCTTCCTGACTCCCCTCCCGAGCTCCCCTCTTGGATCACCCGCGACACAAATCTCCCGGAGTGTTGTGTGGTCACGCTGGAGTTGCCGCGAGGTCACCGCCAGGGATTGGCTGGTGACCTGGACTGACCCCTTAGTCCAGTCGGGAGAGGGGGAGGAGAGGGAGGAGGGGAGGAGGGTGTTTAAAGGTTGTTTGGTCGTTTTGCCGAGATTACTATAGCCTTTTATTATATGAACGCGGGCTTACACACACACACACATACACACGCGCGCGCACACAAACACCGAACCGCCCACCCATATCTACACTCACACCGCGTCTCTCTCTCCGCCACGCAACACGAACGACTGAGCGCCCGAGGATCAGTCAGTCAGTCAGTCAGTCAGCGAGCACATATAATAATATTTACAGGGCGAGCGACTATTTGATATACAATTCCCACGAGGCGGCGTCCGATAATCGCCCGGGCCATTATGTCGGAGATGCGCAATTATTCACTCTAAAATGGAGGTTGGACGAAGGCGAGGCTGACGAGGGGCGGGTGGGCGTCGGGGCGGTCACGTGGCGCCGTTTTGAGGGGCGGGGAGGGCGGCGGGCGCTGCTGTGTCCGTCGTCCAGCCAGCACGACCCCTTGTCGTTCCTTCTTTCGTGTTCCTCTTTCGTCTCTTGTGCTCTTACTCGAGATCTATGTGGGTATATATATATAGGCGTTGTTCTCACGATCCCTTTTTCCCCTCTTCTCTCCTCTTCTCTTCCCTTCTCATTTTCCACTTCTCTTTCTTCCACTTTCCTACTCTTCCTCCCTCTTCCTTTCCATCCCTTACCCTCCGCTTTCCTTTTCCCCCCTCCTTTACCCTCCTTTTCCACCCTCTCCTCTTTCCTTCTCCATCCCCCTCCCTCTCCTCCGTCTCTTCCCCTCCCCCTTCTCCCTCCCCACCCGTCCGACACGCGTGTTGACAAAACTGGTGATAACGATGTGAGAGAGAGAGAGAGAGAGAGAGAGAGAGAGAGAGAGAGAGAGAGAGAGAGAGAGAGAGAGAGAGAGAGAGAGAGAGAGAAGAGAGAGAGAGAGAGAGAGAGAGAGAGAGAGAGAGAGAGAGAGAGAGAGAGAGAGAGAGAGAGAGACCGATCTTATAACCGCGGAGCCAATTTTGGGGGTCATCTTTCGCGGTGATTTTCAGGCCCAGATTATGCTTAATCTGTCTCTTCTGATTGGGTTGTGCTTTATCGGGTTCGGGTTGTTTGGCTGGCGTGTTTGTGTTTGATGCTGTCGTTTGATTTTCTCTGGACGCGTGTGTGTTTATCTTTGCGTTTTGTGTGTGTGTCTGTTGTGTGACTTGAGTGTCTTACGGTTGTTTTATGTGTAAACATTATTTTTGTTTTTAGGTATTCATGGTTCTGTTTGAACATGTAGTTAATATCATTTTATGGATATCTGCATATTATATGCCAAGTCCATACGCAAACAATCCACTAGGACTAGAGTCTGAGTATTTGCAAACGCGAGTGTGTTTGCCCATCTATTCGGAAATGAGCAAGTCATTGTTTAGAAGCACTTTATAACCGCTGATGCACCGAGTACCTTTACCTCAATCCCTTTATGCCCCTGGGAGAGCGCCCTCCTCCCCGTCCACTCCGCATATACTCGGCCAAAATAAAAATAAAAAAAGGGAAAGAGGAGCACTTTCAGCCGTCGCCACGTCAGGCAGACAGCGACCTGTTCCCGGACGCAATGCTGGGTCAAAATCGCTCTCGCCGACAGTAGCATCGACCTGCAAATAGGCGATTATGTTGCTCTCGAACCAGGAGACACCAGCCCCTAAAATGGCGTTCAGTGCGGTCTAGATATTCGATTTGCCAAGGGATTGCAGAACAGGGGATGGGAAGGAGGGGTGATAAACAAGTGAAAAGGGGGGAAGGGGTAAGAGAGGCGGGGTAGAAAGGAGTTAGAGGGGAAGGGACAGCACGTGATAATAGACACACGACGCACAGGCGCACACCGCACAGATTAGCCATTGCCTGTCTTGGTATCCCGTTAATGGTCCCAGCACAAGATACTTGTTCGGGCTACCAGCTGCCTTGTGCTTCATGGTGACGTTGTCGAACGAAGGAAAAAGACGGCGAAGGGACTTGGTTTGATTAACTGCGCTGTTTGCAGTTGATTCGCGCTGCGTTTGCATTTTTTGTAGATGGTGAGGGTTTAGTTTAGTTCATTAGACTCTACACTAATTTCCCTTTCTTGATATGTGCGGGATCTTACTTGTAATAACAGCAGATAACTGAATGTTCTTATTATCATACTTCCATGTGAGCTTCATATGAAAAAAGAAATGACATTTATTCACCTCTCCTCTTTGATGTCCATATTCATAAACAAATTACGAGCTTTAATATGCTATGAACTCATTCGTACATCTTATCAACTTTTGTGTTTTAACAAAGCATAATTCATATAAAAAAATGAATCTTGTTTCGAACGGCTTCGACTCCGCCCCGCATCCCCGAGCGCCGCCCGACTCCTTCGCGGGTCGTGTCACGCCGCCCTCCCTCCTGATGACGAGGACTTGTCCGCACGCGCCCCGCACGTGCTGATAGCGGCCTGACACGTGCTGACGAGGGCGTGTGCACGTGCGGCGTTTCTCCCAGGCTTCCTCCAGCTCCTCCTCCGCCCTCTCCCTCGCTCCTCTCCGCCGCCTCATGAGCTGTTATGGTCTTGTCGTGACAAATTCGTTTAGTGCGGCCGAGATACGGATCCGGGGCGTGCGGGCCGGTTATCGCTCGTAAAATGACGGTGTTGAAGGGGCGTGGCGGGGGGCGGGGGCGGGCGAGGGGAGAGACCTCCGAGGAAGACCAGCGAGGGATGGGACGCCCGCTGATGCTGGGATGATGCTCTTTATCGGCATGACTAATGGGGGCGTCATTGGGACTCGTTATAGACTCGCTTGATTCACCCAAACGGGCGCTGCGGATCGGAGGCGGAATCCGACCCAAATTGACATGCATGGAGTCTGGCGTTGGCGTTTTTGCCGTTGCCAGACCCTCATCATTACGACCATCCTCGGGACGGTCGTTCTATCCGCGGCTCCATCTTTATCATAACTAATAATAGTCAAGTATAGTAACTGCTATACCCGTCACTATACCCATCCCACCACCCATAAGACACCCTCTCCCAACCACACCAACCGACGCCCACTCACCCCCCCCCCCCCCTTCCTCGAAACCCCAACCACCTCCCCCCACCCCTACATACACCACCCCCCCTCCCCTTACATACACCCTCCCCCTCCCCCTACACACAAACCCCTCCCCTAAAATTCCCCCCACTCACGTCTATCTCCCCGCCAG